AGAGCAGGTGGCGGAGGAGCCAGAGTCAGAGACAGTGAGCCAACGAGCCAGGGGGATGCCGAGGATCCAGGGGGCCAGGTTGGAGCCGAGGGCTCTGGCAACCGAGGCGGAGCCGGAGCGACTGAGGACCAAGGTGGAGCTGGCGGGAGGAAGGAGCCCAATAGAGCCGGTGGGACGGAGCAACGAGGTGCAGCCGGAGGAGCGGAGTCCTGAGGCGATGGCGGGTCAACGCCCGACCAAGGCGGAGCCGGAGGGATGAGGGACCCCGAAGGAGCTGGTGGATCGACGGGTGGAGGTGGAGGTGAGGGAGCTAGGAGCCGAGGTGGAGCCGCTGAGTCTACGGGCCGAGGCGGAGTCCAGGCCTCGGAGGCTAGAGGCGGAGGTGAGGGTTTCTCCAGCCATGGAGACGCTGGAGGATAGCAGACCTGTGGCGCTCACACCGTATTGATGGTGGGCTGAGGGCGATCAGAGGGGCTGCCAGACGAAAGCAGTAGAGGAGGCAGGAGCGGGCGGGCATCCATGAGCCTCTGGGCTCTCAGGGCTGCCCTCTGGGATCAGAGCCCACTCCTGGCTGTCACCGTCCACGATTTTCTCCCTCGCGATAGGTGTTGCAGCCGGCTCAGGCACCTGGTCCGACGGCTTGGGCTCTAGTTCCGGGGCTATCCTCCGCTCAGTCGCTCGGCTTTGCGCTGGCTCGTAGATCGCGGCGGGAATTGACTCTCCATCATCGGTGGGATCGGGCTTTAGCTCCGCTCAGCGGGGAGATGGTGGACTGGGCTCTAGGTCCGGAGTGGATCTGGAGACCATCTTCGGACAACGGCGCTCTGCACGCAGTGTTTAAACTTGTGTCGTGGAACACACAGAGCGCGTCGTCCGGGTAGCTGGTGGTGTTAGCTATCAGCTGGAACAGTCTATTATGGTCTCCGAGCGATCTCTCCCCCTGCTCCAGCAGGAGGAGGAGGAACTCCGGGCGGACGAGTGGATCCATAAGGGAACAACGGAAAAAAAACACACTGGGTAAAAACGGGAAACAAAACGGAGGGCAGACACATGGAGGTTACTGTCTAGGTCAGGTCTTCTATCACGATTCACTGGGAGGAACGAGGAGACGCGGAGAATTCACAATACAAGAGTCTTTAATCATCAAACAGGGAGAAACAGAGCACAGGGATGATGTTCACAAGGAGCAGATAACGAGTAAACCTGACAAACACAAACTGAACAGACTAGGACTTAAGTACACAGGGAAATGAGAATAATTAACTAAACACAGCTGGAAACAAATGATGAACTAATCAGGGAACCTAATGGAAACAGGAAGGATCAAATAAGGAAACACAGGACCAGAAACAGGGGCAAAACATGACACAGAACAGTCCAGAATCTTGACATATATCTACTATTATATATTGATACTTGTGATTTATATCTAAAAGTGTATCTAGACAGAATAAAAACTATAAATAGAACACATATTCCTGAATTAGTACGAGTGGAGATGATTATATATATTTATTGGTAAAACAGCTATCATATCTACTATAACATTTATATCACATAAATAAATATTATTAGAATAAATGATTAAATGATTATTGATAAATCATGGATTATATCTACTTCAATACAATAAAAGATTTGTTACGTATCTAAAAAGTGTTCTAGACAGAATACATGCATATTTCTAAATAAGCATCTACAGAATGGAGAAATATGCTTTTTGAAACCAAATTATGTAGTTACTCCCACCAACTGAACCCTGCTCCCTTTGTGGTATGGAGCCAAACTCCTTACACAAACCTGAAGGCAGAAAAGGAAGAGAGTGTCTTCTGTTTGGCTGAGGTTTTAATTGGCTAGGGGAAAAAAAGATGTGCTGGCCACCCAACACTTTGTTGTTTACAGAGACTATGGCTGTCACAGAGACTTGGGGGAATTCTCAAGACACCTATTTCAGTGATATCTGTCAGGTAGCAGAAACATTGTATGCGTGGTATTAAAAAAAAGCACCTATTAAATAGCTTTTCCTATCAGAGTGTAATCTGCAGAGACGAGTCTAAATAAGCCTTTGGTAGGCTTATTTCCCCAAAGACTGTAAACACTGTGACTCCGCAGTGCTTTGAAAACATGCTGTGCTTGTTTGCTGCTTTTCCACATGTCAACTCATGAATCAGTCAGTGGCGTGAGTTTAATATTAGCTTTTTTTCTCATTACTGCGGAAAGGGCAGTAGGAATGTTTTGGAAACCTATTTGAAAACATTAATTCATTCATTCATTCTCATAGAAGTATTCCATCAGTTTGTGAATCATCAGTCTTTGAATTTGAATTGCAACATTCATAACTGAAATAACCAAATTTCATTGGTATAGAATGACAAATAAAATCGACTTAAAATTAATTAAAGCAAGTGTGTAACTTAAACTGCAAAATACTTAAAATACCTTCTGAATGTTTTATATTTACACTACCATTTAAAAGTTCTGGTTCAGTTATTTTAATGTTTTTGAAAGAAGTATCTTAATGCTCACCAAGGCTGCATTTATTTGAACAAAAATACAGTAATATTGTGAAATATTTTAAAATAATGCAACTTAATGATGACAAAGATTGTACTGCTTAATTTTGTGGTGATTCTTTTTTCAGGATTCTTTGATAAATAGAAAGTTCAAAAGAACATAATAAATGCGGTTCTTTTGAACATATATATATATATAATTTTTTTTTTTTTTTTTTTTTTTGAACACAAGTGGGTATAAACTCACAAAACAAGTTCCTAAATAATCACAGCAAACAATAACATGCTGCAAAAAAAGTGTCAATAAAGCTGGCAAATTACAACATTATGCAACCATATTCATTTGAAATTGTCAAATCTGTGAATAAATATGTACATATTACAAGGTCTTTCAACATTTGGATCAATACTTAATAAAATACAAATATAACAAATAATAATAATAATAAAAAAACAGTATCACCAGCTCTCCCACTACTGGCTCAGAGCGCAGAGCTCAGCAGGTCTACTGAATTAGTTGGTTGTCTTAGAGGAAGCAGATTGTGGAATGATTCATAGATGTGTGCTCACTGTGCATTTCCTCCTATGACTTCATCGCTGAACCACATAATGTGTAAAAAGCATAAGCAAAAACACAAGCACCCCAGCCTGCTAATATATTTCTCCTATTTGTTTCACTGCACCACATGCCTGCTATGGGTGAATTTGCAGCGACAGCGTTTGTCGAGTCTCCACTGTGGTTTTAAATAAGATCTTCCTCTTGTAGATGAGTGGAGGGAGAAGACGCTTGTTTATGAAACCATTGGAGCTGAACAGCTAAAGCCTGGCTGAGCAGGTTTCTGCAATCTCTCTTAGTAAACGCACTGGAAAACAAATTTAAAAATGCCTTGAGATCACACAGGTGGTCATATAAGAAGTGCTTACAGTTGGATGGCTTCTTCCAAGCGTTTCTGCCGTTGTCAGGCATTGCACTCTCTCTCTCAGGACTACATGAGTAATAAACACTTGAGAGGAAAGAAATGGAGTGGCTTTCACTGCAGATGAGAGAGGAAAAATGAGTGAATACATCAATGAAAAGCAGTAACATTTATTTTCAAGCGTTGTGAGCTTTTGGTTTAGCAGCACACTGAGTTTGAGGAGCATTCAGTGCTCTAGTTATGAGTTGTGTGGTTTGTAATGATTAGATTGTACATCCTGCGGTGACAATGCATGGAAATGCAAAGCTTAACTCTGGTTGTCCTTTCTTTTTCTCAACTAGCTTCTCAGGACTCCAGGCAAAGAGCTTCAGAAAATAACCTGTGGAGGCAAAAAATGTTAACAGGAAATCAAACTTCATGTGTCTACTTTTTTTTTTAAAGAATACATTCATGGTCTTACTTTGAACAATTCATCAGTGCAAAGCCCAACCTTTCATAACAATTTCATAAAAACTGAAATGATTTATTTCCTTTAGCTTAGTCCCTCTTACACACCGATCCGTCTAACACTCTTAAAAATAAAAGTTATTTATTGGCACTGATTTGGAGAAATGTAGCATTGCATCACTTACTCACCAATGGATCCACTGCAGTGAATGGGTGCTGTCAGAATGAGAGTCCAAACAGCTGATAATACCATCACAATTATCCACAAGTAATCCGCACCACTCCAGTCCAGCAATTAACATCTTGTGAAGTGAAAAGCTCAGTGTTTGTAAGAAACAAATTTATATTTTAAATATGCACAGACCACCATTTATGAGCTAAAACTGTCCTGATTCAAATTAGATGACTTTTTTTTACTGGAGAATGCAATATTATGGATAGAGGACTCATATTTTAGCCAAAGCAACGGATTTAAATTCAAAACCACTTAATGAAGGTTTTGGTTATTACAAACACACATCTTTTCACTTTTCAAGACATTAATTGATGGTCTGGAAACATGTGAATCGCTTGTGGCTTATTGTGATGTTTTTATCAGCTGTTTAGACTCTCATTCTGATGGCACCCATTCACTTGCAGATGATCCATTGGCGAGCAAGTGATGCAATGTTAAATTTTTAGGCTAAACTATTTTTTAACATCTACTGAACATTTGCCATTGCACAAAAGTAAAAAAAAGAAGGAAATTCTCAAAATAATCTTCACACTAACAAAGAAAATGGTTCTTTTAAGAACTGTTCACAGAAAGGGTCCCAAAATTGTTCTTCTGTGGCATTTCTACAAAAACCCCTTTTGCAACCTTTATTATTTTAGAGTGTACTTTTTTCCCATTTCTTCAGAACTTCAAGTTCTGTTTACAAAATCACATTATTGAAATACAATGGGTTTCAAACGACTTTGCTAAAGAAATGTCACCTTTAATACTTATTGCTTGTGATGTCATCGATCCTACAATATAAATCAACACAGATCATTTTACTGTACTGATTTCCACATCAATTCAATCACACAACATTGTACAAAAGAAAAGAAAACTTGTTTTTATTGTTTCGATCTTCCTGGATTATCATGTTTTGAGTATTTTACAACGTGTTTCTACAATAAGACCTTAACATTATATTCACATTTTAATTAATTTAAAATCAAACATTTTGTACATGCTTAGGGAGGAACATCCCCTGGTCTGATGGCATAAGGATGGAGAAAGGCACATGAGTTCTTGAGTGAACACATGGTTTTGTTGTGCATTTGCATTTAAGTCTGTAAATCAAGGAAAGAAAAAAACTCGATAGCTAAAAGAGCTGAAACTATTGTGTCAGATTAAAGTCTATACTACTTTCTTTTTTTTGTTGTTTTGTAGCACTTGGGATACCCATTTAAAGTTTCAACGTGGATATTCAATTATCCAAAGCAATTCACAGCCTGAAGAAATAAGTGTTGATAATATGGCAATTGATAAGAAGTAAAACTCAAGACTTTGCCCAGAGGGGTTCGCAACTTTTCGCTTCCTCTCTCTTTGTTTATCCGCAACTCTTTTGAATATTTCTCTCGATATTTCACCAAGAAAGCTCATCAGAATTCCACTCGGGAACACAAGTATGCTGCAGTAAACTGGGAGTCTGTATAGTCCCGTGATGACGGCCTTCTGCTTTACCCGCTCACTCAACAGTAAATGCGTCCAAAGATAATATTTCACCTTTAGACGTCTATATTGAAAGCGTTTCACCCCGAAAGAAGTTCTTCTCGTCTGTCTCAGCCCCAGACTCAGGGTTTGTGTCTATGGCTGCTCTCCAGCTCAGGGAGGTTATTTTTCAGGTTGGGTGTATCTCAGTGTCTGGGGTGTTTTATCCAGTTCCGAATCATCCATTTCTGCCCTGAGCAGCGCTGGACGACCAGCCGCAGGCCAAAGTTCGCATCTTTTGACATTTCAACCTCTAAACAACGTCCCGTGTCTCGACTTATGATGGGTCCATTCTAAGAAATAATTAAGAACAACTGTAAATACACTTGGCATCACACACTACCAACAAAAGTTTGGGGCCAGTACGATTTTTGGTTACACTTTATTTTAAGGTGTCCTTGTTACAGTGTAATTATACATATAAGTACTGAGTATTATTAATTAAGTACATGTACTTACTATAGGGTTATGGTTAGGATGAGGGTTTGGTTTAGGTTTAGTTGCATGTAATTATGCATAATTTACTGTTATTATAATAGTAAGTACATGTAACGTGTAACAAGGACACCGAAAAATAAAGTGTTACCAGATTTTTTTTTTTAACTAATTCAATTATTCAGCAAGTACGTATTAAATTGATGCATTAAGTGATAGTAAGGCATACAAAATGTTACAAAGGATTTCTATTTTCTATTTCTATTTTCTATCAAATAAATGCTGTTCTTTGGAACTTTATATTCATACAAGAATCTCCCAAAAATATGTATCACAGTATTTATTTTATTTTTTATCAAATAACAGTAGCCTTGCTGAGCATAAGAAACAGACCCAAACATTGGTGTACATTAATCAAATGTATCTTAAAGATGCTTTTTTAAAAGAAAGTATCCAATTTAAAATATCTTATGTTTATTTTAAAAGTAATCATCACAAGTGGAGAATCAAATATTAATATGAAGCGTTTAGCAAGCTAATAAATCAATTGTTTCGTTTGAGTGCATTCACTTACCTGAGTAAAATCCCAGAGCCTCTGGGAGGACCTGGTGACAGCATCACATTTTTTCAAGCTTGGAGCCCTTCCTCTTCCATCATCCACCAGGCATTTTGTGTCAGGCAGAAACGTAGTCGACCCCAGGGGTCCTAACTGCAATAAGCCCTCAGTGGTGTACCTCGCCAGCTGAAATAAAACACCAAGTTACAATGTGAGAAAAAGAAATATGTGATATATAAAATGAAATGGAAGGCCTTAGAAATACAGCTTATAGGCATAGTCCTCCCATAAATGAAAATGCCATTATGATTTTCACACCCTCATGATGTTGTTCCACCTGTATGGCTTTCTTTCTTCTGTGGAACACAAAAGAATATATTTAGAAAAATGCCTTTTAAAATACTTAGAAAAGTGTCTTTTTGTCCATATAATAAATGTCAGTGCAGTCCAATCTTGTTTTGGACACCAGTGGCTTTAATGAAATGGACAAAAACAGGCGTTTTTAAGGCGCGCTTCTCGGCAAAATTCAGTCCATAATCCATAATAACACTTCCTCCAGTGAATATTCAATCCCCTGTTGTCCTCTCATATCGCATTCCAACAACAACTTTGTTTAGAACTGTTCTGAATGGTTTTCACTTGTAAAAGCTGTGCATATTTCTCCCATGATTCAGACAACTTTTTCACTGGAGAAATCTTTATTATGGATAGAGAACTTGTATTTTAGCTGGAAACGATGGTTTCAAGTTACAATTATTTGAATTATGAATTTGTATATTATACATTTTCGCCTCATAAGATGTTAATTGATTGGAATGGGGCCGCTGTGGATCATTGTGATGTTTTTATCAGCTGTTTATCAGCCTCATTCTGACGGCACCCATTCACTGCACTGCAGAGGATCCACTGCTGAGCAAGTGGTGGAATGCTGCATTTCTCCAAATCTGATGAAGAAACAAACTAATCTACATCTTTGATATCCTGAGGGTGAGTACATTTCCAGCTAATTTCCATTCTTTTGGTGAACTATTCCTTTAAGAACACTCCAACAGAGATAGGCAGTTCTTAGCTGTATGATTAAGAGCACCACAACACTATACACAAACTATCGAGAGAGATGGAAGTCTAGATAGCAGCTATCTATTACGGTAAGTACACGGCACTGAATAACACATGTCAATAATTCAGCTGAAAGTCAATCTCTTAGATATCAGATCCCAAGGTCGGCACATCACAATGAAGTACAAGCTGACATTCAATGAAAATCAAGCTCGCTCTATTGAGTAAAGTTAATCTATAGAACCGAGGGTAATTGCCCAGTCACCAAGGTGAAAACAGCAGGAGGACAATAGCGTGAGCTCATCTTCATGCGTACTGTAACCTGATTCCAGCTCTCATAGCAGCCATGCATTCACTAAGAAGATGTACCACACAGAGGACAAAGAAAGGATTTTTCAGTAAAACAATAACAAGTAGGCACACTGTTTGAATGCATAGCAATCAGACTGAATAAAAACAAAATTCAAGAATGATATATATATATAATATAATCACTAGTTTTATTTTTTTTTTGTATTCATGAAAATTATAAAAGAGTTCTTCAACCTCGCACAGCAATAAACACAAAACACTTTGCATTGAATTTGCAAGGCTATAACCAATATTTGTAATATTAATTTTAAACAAATAAATACATGAAAATAAATCGTTGTAATGGTTGATTAGTACCAGGGTTTCAATGACACAGTGGCCATGAATCATTCTTGTTTTTAATTTGTGGTTACGCAAGGAGATGAAAAAAAGTTGGGAAAAAAATGAAGCTTAGCTGTATCATGTAAAACCAGCTTTTATTGTAATTTGATGATACAATGGGAATATACTTCAATTGCTTTATTTCCCTTAGGCCTGGATTATGGACTAAGACTGTCATTCCCTTACAAGATTTAGGAGGGAGGAAGAGAGAACGAGGCGGAGAGAGAGACTGTATTTTAAATTGTTCAAAGGATCATGTCTCTATTGTGTGTGAATGACAAGGAAAAGGTCAAATCACGCTGTCAAAGGTCATAGCCCGGTAGGAGAACTGTTTGATAATCCCACATCCATTTAATCTGAATGAATAAAAATGTCAGATGTCAAAGTCACATAAACTGATGACTTATAACAACTATTTTGCAAGGGGAGGCAGTTATGAAAGGACAGGACACAGAAACTGAGATAAATCTACAGGTAATTTCAACCTGAGCTGCTCTCTGTCTCCAGGCAATGATGCAATGCACCACCAATGTGAAAAAAAGTGTACACTGAGGTTGACAACATGTGCTTCAATTACAAATCGAATTTAATTCGCACAATTCACATCAATATGTGCTTGTGATTTTTTTTTTCCTCCAGACCGCTGCATGTGTCAATCTTGTGAACGAACGTGGCATATTCTTGGCTCCATGTCCTTGCATTTGCAAGTAACAAGATTTTTGCTGTCTGCTCGGGATACAAATGTAATGTAAATGCAATGATGTAACCACAAGAAGATTGTGAACAAGATTGATCGGCGTTTATCTATGTGTGTGTGTGTGTGTGTGTGTATGTTTTCTATTGAAATACTGAAATATATGAGTTTTTTCCTGTAATGCTGAAGTTGAATTTTAAGCATCATTACTCCAGTCTTCAGTGTCACATGATCCTTCAGAAATCATTCTAATATGCTGATTTGGTGATCATGAAATATTTATTATTATTAATATATTTGTAGAAACAGTGACACATTTTTTCAATATTCTTTGCTAAATAGAAAGTTCAAAAGAACAGCATTTAATTGAAATAGAAATATTTTGTAACAATGTAAAGTCTTTACTTTCAACTTTGATCAATTTAAAGGGGTCATATGATGCGATTACAAGCGGTTCGTGCATATATAAGATCCGTAAAGTTGCAAAGACTAAAGTCTCAAACCCAAAGCGATATTCTTTATAAAAGTTAAAACTCGTCCACGCCTTCCTGAAACGCCTGAAACATAAAACATTCGGGTGGCATAATGCAAATCTTCCCACACAGTGGGAAGATTTGCATAACACCGCCCGAATGTTTTATGTTAAATGCTTTATTCTCGCTGTAGTATTGTTGTCGTGGAGACGCTGTGTGTTTCCAAATATGGTAAGGAGCGTGACATTTCCGTGACATGCTTCAGCTATTCGGCCAATCACAACGCACTGGATAGCTGGCCAATCAGAGCACACCGCGCTTTTCAGAACGATATGCTTTGTAAAAATCGACATGTTTCAGAAAGGCGGGGCAGAGAGGAGCAACAATAATGTACAGTGTATGGAAAATAATGTTTTTTTTTTCATCTTAAACCATGTCAACACATTGTATTACACCTTGTATTACACTGTTTTACACCAAACACACAAAATAACGTTATTTTCAGCAACGTCAAATGGCCACTTTAAATAAAATAAAATAAAATGAAATTATTTTAAAAAGTATAAATTACAAAAAATAACAAGTAACTATATAGAAAATGAAAGTAAATATATAAAGTAAACATAAAAAAAACGTGCTGGCCCCAAACCTGTGATGTAATTATACTAATAAAAAGCTAGAAACACACACTAACCTGCGATGACATGCCATGACATGGGTAGAGAATAGCCCTGTCATCCTCCTCTGACCCCTGATCAAGGCAATATCCACTGGCTTTACTGTTTCGTACCTAAAAAATAAGTAAACAATAATAAACACAGGCAGGCAAATCATGACGCATGAAGAGTGAGCACACTGTTTTAAGTTGCCCAGTTTAGCTTATAGCATTAGTGCTGCTCTGAATGTCAAACATAAATGCATGCACACATGCTTTGTCAAATCCATTTGAGAGATGAGAATATTGACCGTCCATAGAACCTAATACTGGACAGAGGATGAGATATGTGGAATCTGTGGTCTAGCAGGCATATTTTCAGAGACAAACTATTCCAATATAGCTATAGATTTTCCGCCCCTGCAGTTCCAGAGATCAATGTAGAAATGCAGGTGTCTTTTTTTTCCTTCAATAAATTCAAAATACTGTAAGATTCCTCTTCTATTGAGATTTAGGCATGTTAAATTCTAACACACACTCACACAAGAGTGCATGCACGCACACACACACACACACACGCACGCGCGCGCACGCACACAGGTTTGTTTTTATGGTTTATGGGGACTCTCCATAGGCGTAATGGTTTTTATACTGTACAGACCGTATATTCTATTGCCCTACACCAACCCTACCCCTAAACCTACCCCTCACAGGAGACTTTCTGCATTTTTATATTTTCAAAAAAATTACGGGGACACTGAAAATGTCCTCATAAATCACCTTCTCGTTGTAATACCTATGTCATACCCATGTTATTATACAAATTTGTGTCCTCATAAACCACATAAACATGCACACACACACACCCGCACGCGCGCGCACACGCGCACACGCACGCACACGCACACACACACACACACACACACACACACATACATACATACACTCACACTCATCCCTCCTACCCACACACACTCCAAAGTTAATAAGGGCCTCATTAAATCTCATTATGAGGAAATTGGAGATAATCCCAATGCTTGCTACACTGTTGCTATGGAAACCAATTATCTTTACATTTCTCCTGTAACTGCAATTTTTACCATTCGGTACAAAAATGCAAACTGCGTAAATAATGTAATCAAATGGAAATTACTATATACTCAAGAAAAAAGTTTTCCTTAGTGACCTTAGCAAGAAATCAGCAATAAATAAATTAATAAATAGATCAATCAATCAATCAATCAATCAATCAAAACATATTCATCTTCAATTTAGCACTTTAATTGTAATGGTTAATGGGTTTTATTAAATTAACCATTATATACATGCACATACACACACATACACACACACACACACACACACACTTACATACACACACACTCACATACACATAGATAGTATATACAGGAAATATATACTTAGAATCTTTAGAAAGCTGTTAAAGTGAATTATTACTTTAATATCTGCCAAAAACCTGTAACAGAATGATAGATTCTTCACAGGATTATAGAGACATTAAACTAACAGCGTGTGAAAGTAAATGCCTTTCTATGAAAGGTTTTGTTGGTTTTAAAGGTGCATAAGGGGTTGGTTTGTCTTTATTACCTCTCCATAAGTGATGGTGTTATTGTAAATTCTCATCTCGGGATAGACATGCTCAAGGTACCAGCGAAAGTTCCTGCAGTTCATTTTCTTCCTCAGCGCTACACGCTCTGACACATCTCCAAAATCTACTCCTGGGTTCTGGAACAACAGAAAGAGACTGGTAGTTGTCATTTGGCAGGCGCTGTTTTATGCAAAACAATTCAAATACACTAATTACAGGAGCAGCTCCTCTGGGATTCTGGGTTAACAAAATACCACAAGCCACTTTCTAATAGTTGAATTTTTCTGTTACTTTAATACAATATTAATATCACCATCCATCCATCCATACATAATATATACTATACTATACTAACTAGTTAATAATGACAATATATATATATATATATATATATATATATATATATATATATATATATATATATATATATATATATAAAA